AAGAAACAATCAACATCACTATTACCATGATTCTAACTATAGCAAATTTATCATCTCCAAAAATTCCTCCCACCAGTTAACAATCCACACCTTCCACCCAATGTTCTCCAACGTTCTTCTCATTTCTTAGAGACATCAACTTGAATTGCAAATTTCCACGACTCCAATAATCTACAAGAACACTAAAAAACAATAAACAATCAATATCCTATCACCATGATTCTCACCATATCAACTTCATCCCCAAAAATTCCTCCCATCAGTCAACGATCTACACCTTCCACCTAATGTTCTCCAACGTTCTTCTCATTTCTCAGAGACATCAACTTAAATTGCAAAATTCCACTATTCGAACCATCTACAAGAACATTAAGAAACAATCAACATCACTATTACCATGACTCTAACCATCAACTTCACCCCCAAAAATTCCTCCCAGCGATCCACACCTTCCAGTGTTCTCCAACACTCTCTATCGTCGCGATCATAACATATATAACCGACAACGATGCGTCACCGTTTCCCCGTCCGACGGCCGAAGACACCTTGTATCTCGCCGGTTATCAGTGGCGCATAGGCGTCGATCGCTAACGAACGCCATTGGTCGCCAATATCCGCGGCGATCGCGAAAAACGCGATTAACGGAACCGCTCGGCGACGGAGCGGCGCTGTGCCGGCGTAAGCTTAATTTAGTGGCGGCGAACGGTTCCGAGCTGTCAACGTCGTCGTCGGCTTCCTCGGCGAGACCCGTCGGCGGTGCGGACACGAGGAAATCTCGCTCGCTCGCTCGCCCGTTCCTCCCGTCCTCTTCCTCCTCCGCGGCGGCTGGCGATGTGTTTCTAAAGGAACAAAACGGAACGGAAGTGGTAAAGGTCTATCTATAGCCAGACTCGCGCGCGATGGTCGTCTGCCGGCACCAAGCCGCCACGCTCGAGCCTCTCGTAAGTGAACACTCGCGGATCCCGCCGGAACGCAGGTTTTTCTCTTGACACGTTAAACGCCATGTCAGTCGCCGATGGCCGACGCTTCTGAATTACTTGAAAATAATCGTTGCATGCGATGTAATCGATGTCGAATCGAAATACTTAATAACTGAGCTGATAATAGTGTATCGCAACGATTGTAACGCCAAATAGTGGATAATTGTCGTTACTTTTCTTTGCTAAGAGGAATCGTACAGAAAAATGGTCGAGATTCTCGTGGCGTTTAACGTGTTGGCGATGGAACTACCGATCGCTTAACACTTTCTGGACGAACATCGGTTAACGCAGTGTTTCCCAACGTTGAGGGAAATTGGGGGAGATTTGAATTTTAAGGGGGACAATTTGAAATTTGAAATGTCACTTCATATACTTCACTATATTTAGACACGTGAACAAAATAGCAAAGATATTATAATAAAGATTAGAAAAATATTGTAATATGATATTAAAGATTGTATATACATGTTACATAGGGGGGCAATTTGAAATTTGAAATGTCACTTCATATATTTCACTATATTTAGACACGTGAACAAGGTAGCAAAGATATTATAATAAGTATTAGAAAAATATTACAATATAATATTAAAGATTATATATATGTTACATAGGAGTACAATTTAAAATTTAAAGTGTCATATATTTCACAATATTTACGCACGTGAACAAAATAGCAAAGTATCGAAAACCTGTGAACGAATTTGCAAGAAAATTGTAAAACACTGCTTGTACATTTAACAATATTCATTGTAAAACAAGGGTCGAATTGCGCAAACGTGATGAATCGAGAATGATGTCCGTTTGTTTCTTTGTTTCCTCGGTTAGCGTTGTTCGCTGTTTCGGAAGTAAAATGACGCAAACGTAAAACTGGAACGTTGTTGATAACGTGAATCATGGTCTCAGAAATGCTTAATCCTTCGGGGAAATGATTGCATTTTTACCAACGTCGTCGAACTTCTTTGTTTCTGATCGATCTATTTGATACGAATTTTAATCGATAAATGCTCAAGTACTGTTAGTGCCACTTTGTTGCATAAGTTCGTGTGACGAAACGCGTTCGCCGATTCGAAGAAGCAGACTTCAACGCAGTCGGAGAGATAAGGGAACCGTCGGTCGCGTTTTCTCCGGAAAAGTGAAGCTTCGTTAGACACAGCGTTATTTTATGTTAAACCACATTCTAGAACATTCACTAAAGGGAATGATAAATATTTTTAACTATCGATATTTAAAGTTCAAACTCGATTTACCGATTATAACAGATATACAACACTTTGAGGAGCTGTTATACAAAATTGTGATTTTCATTATTATATAATTATCATAATTATATACAGATGGTAAAATCAGGTGGTTCCCACGCGAATCGGTGATACTAGCTTGTTTCCTTCGCGAATGACGCCGCCGCCGCGCCCCCCTAGCTTCTTGATTATTGATTTTGAAACTGTATCGGAGCGCAGATAAGCGATTACCGAGGAACTGCCGGCGAAAAGCATCACCTTGAGGAGAATGCGGTACCGATGACTCAACTGCAGGTAAAACGGAAGCCCACGGACGACGAGGACCGACAGCGCTGTCGCGTCACCGATCCTCTGGTGATTTTTACAATGATTTTCCGCTTAGGTGTAGATCTTAAGGATCGCAAACGAAAATTTTATTTAAATTGTTCTCGAGATACGAACAATTCAGGTTTCCTTACCCGTAGTTTCAGGGATATTGCGAGAAATACACTTTCAACCCTTAACTTTGACACGTTGACTGACGGTGGTCACCGATGACCGGAGCTTCCTAATTACTGAAGAACAATTGCAATGAAAAACTTGATTTTAAATAAGAATATTTAGTAAACCAAAGTTTTACAAAGGCAAATAATATTGAAAATAAGCAGCTAGATTATAGCGTAATATGACTACTGTTATATTAAATCCTTAATAATTATTTTCAATGATATTGATATTTCATTGATACTGAAAATAAGTAGCTAGATCATAGCGTAATATGACTACTATAATACTAAATCATTAATAATTATTTTCAATATCATTCGCCTTTGTTATTAAAGAACAAGTATTACTAATCAAAACGCTAGAAATTCATGGCAGTCAACGTGTTAAAGGGTGTTTTCACTTGAATAAAATGAACGTCGGCTAAGAAACATTCGTCAAATATTTTCTGGAGAACCATATCAAACATAAGTATCATCAAAATCGTGCGCCAGTGGAGGTTCCTTCGCAAGATTGCCTTCTGTTCCCACAGAACAATGAAAATCGAGCTTTCATTTGCTCCCACAGAACAACGAAAAGAATCATTTCATCGAGGATTAGGGAGTGTCTCATAAATTTCATAAATTTGTCGGATACGAGAACGAACGAGGGGGGAAATAAGTTTCTGGAGTAATATAAGTTTCGATGGTCCACATTTCAGAGAGCCAACTCGCTTCCGGTGCGAACGCAGACTCCGTCCTCCCAAAATCGCGTGAATCTCCGGCGCAGCGTCAGGGGAGAGCCACCCCCGCATCCGGCCAGGCTGAGGAAACACCGGCACGGATGGACCCTGCATCTAGCCCGGCCCCTCAAGACTTCCGGTTGCTCCAGGTCCCTGGTGCTCCTGCTGGTCGTCATCTTGACGCTGCTGGGGATCGGCGCCGTTGCTCTCTACATTGTTTTCGGTGAGTGTCTCTTGTCTCTCGAGTGATAACACCAGTGTAGTGTTATTACATTGATAACACTAGTGTAGTGTTATTATATTGATAACGCTAGTATTGTGTTATTATATTATAGATAATTAAAGAGTGGATCTTGAGTAATCGAGAACTAGGAATAAATATATGTATTTAACCTTCACATAATTTTGTGACATGTCAGCAACTCCTACCAAATTTGATAGTAGTCCTACTGAAAGTTAACACTAGTATTGTGTTATTATATTATAGATAATGAAAAAGTTTATTTAATTTTTTCTTATAAAATGACAAATGACAATAATAATAATAATAATAAGAAGAAGAAGAAGAGTAATAATAATAATAATAATAATAAGAGTAATAATTAATAAAAGTAATTACCTAGCATCGTTTGGATGCTAAGCTTTCGTAGATATTTACCAAAAATGCGGAAGTGATTGGGCGTCTATGCAAAAAAATTAATAAGAGTACTTATCTAATGAGATCACAAATATTGTGCTATTACAAAAAAATATCAAAAAACAACATTTATTCGAATAAACTTACTTTGATTTATTTCTTGAAGAACATAGCAAAAAAATTATAATTGCTACTGATAATCAGAAGCGCTCCTCAGCACTCAAACGGTTAAATAATTAATCGACAGAAACTCTTGCTACGCACAGGCGTCTACATTTGTAACATCAAAGTTACAAAATACATTCCCGAATAAAAACGCGAGTTTCCATAACCGCGTGCGCATTTCAGCGATGAAAACAACGAACGTCTAAAATTTCGCGGTCTGATTACGATCGATCGCGACGTACGTACGTGGGAAAACGAGAGCCGCGCGTTAGCCCTACAAACACACACACACACAGAGAAACACACACACTGTCCAGGGGCTAGCAGCGAAAACAACTTGGCCGAGGTTTTTTTAATTCGTGCCGAGAAGCGTACCAATTGCCGTCGACAAGATGAATTTAACCGGTGGGTCAACCGGGTGCCGCTCTTCTTCTGCGCCGGATGGGCCGATCGAGTTAAGCCCGTGCACGCGCGCTGACCGTTTGTATACCCGAGGCGTTGACCGTTCGTTATTTTCCCGAGTGCGACCGGTTATTTCTAGAAGACGCGACCGTTCGACCAATCTTCGGCGCGTTAACAGTTCGACTTTCGAGTGCGCAATTCGGGATGCGAATAAGTATTTTTATTCTGTCTCGAGGTAGGAACATGGCGGAGAGAATCGCTTATGGGGGTGATTAGAGCTTCATCCCTTTGAAGGTTCTTTGGGATATGTAAGAGTCTTTTGCAGGTGAAGCTAAATTGTACGTTGATTGCTTAGATAATAGGAAAGGAAACTATGTATCGATCTCTTTGTTTGGGTGCCATTTTTGCAAAATTGGAGGTAACTAGAGTTTCATCCCTTTAAAGATTTCTTGGAAGATACAAGAGGATCTTTTGCAGATGAAGCTAAATTATACGTTGATTGCTTAGATAATAGGAAAGGAAACTGAGTATCAATCTCTTTGTTTGGGTGCCATCTTTGCAAAGTTCCCGTCGAAAAGTGCCAAGCGTTTCTTTCGTTTCAGTTGAGAAATAAACGAAATGGCCCGCACGCAATGTTAACCGTTTGAGTGTCATTTTTGCAAAGTTGGAGGTAACTGGAGCATCATCCCTTTGAAGATTCTTTGGGATATACAAAAGGATCTTTTGCAGATGAAGCTGAATTATACATTGATTGCTTAAATAATAGGAAAGGAAACTGTATCGGTCTCCTGTTGTTCGGGTGCCATCTTTGCAGTTCCCGTCGAAAAGTGCCAAGCGATCACGTTTCTTTCGTTTCAGACGTTTTTCTATTTTTACGTGAGATGATTGTAAATAGCGCGATCGTTCCGTTTTTTCATTTCTAAGCAGATAGTAACGAGAAAAAAAACGAATGATTAAAAGGAAGGAAAATTATTTCGCAAAGTTATCGGAGTTCGAATACTGGAAAATGGTTTCTATTGAATGAAGTATTTATATAGGTGATCCTTCCCTCGATCTCTTCGGGTATTCCGAAGCGTATATCGATGACGCAAAGGGGCCAACCAGCTAAATATAATAATACGGTGAACCCTCTAGCGACGCGATATTCTGAAAACGTGGGTTTCGATATAACGGTAGGAAAATTGGGATAATCCTGTTATAACGCGGTATCCTTGGCACAGTATCGGATTAACCCCTTGTCTTACTATAATAAGTCAGGTCATCGGAACACCGTTGTCCTACAGATAATTAAAAACTATTAGAATCATTAAAAAGATTAGGTTACCACGAAGAAGACCATTAGGCAAGACACTAATCTTGTAAAATAAGATTAATTATACTAACAGTCTCGACACAAATAGTATCACGTTCACTGCTTGACGATAATTCGAATTCGTCAGATAACTAATGTTGAATGAGAATACTTTATAACGTAAATTCCTAGATAAATGAAACTCTGAAGGTTTCATACTGTCATTGTCACTAACTGACGCGTGATGATCAACTGATTCCAGAACCCGAGAAGCTGCAGGTCATCCAACAGTACCTGAAATCGTCAGCGAACGACACGTCGACGGTGGAAACGTTCAGCACGGGGAAACTGCTGACGAACGGGACGAGCGTCACATCGTCAACGACAACGACGTCCACGATAAAGTCTACGACGAGCAACAGCTTAATCGCGGGCATCCTTCTAAGCGGGGACCAGTCATTTCCGGAGAACAACGTCGCTGGTACCACCGTGAAGCCGGAAACGGAAGCGAGCACGTCGGTCAACTCCACCAGATACTGCGACGACTGTCTTGACGGCGAGGTGTGCGTCGCGCTCGTCGACGAGGAGGTGCCTACCTGCAGGACTGGATTAGATTCCGAGGATCCGACGGGATGCGCTGGCTTCTGCCTCGTCAATAAACAAAAGTGTCATCGTCTCGACGTGGACGCGTTCAGGTGCATTGAGTTCCTTTTTTGACACTCTGATTGCCATGGTCATCGGTGACAGGAGCTTTTAAGTTATAAGGGAATAATTGTGACTTGAAGGATAATTGATTTTAACACTGGAACTACTGTAGCAGTCAAAATGACTGGTTTCGATTGTTTTGTTTTGGAATTATTGGTATATATTAATTAATTATGACTTGGAGGATAATTGATTTTAACAGTAGAACTACTGTAGCAGTCAAAATGGCTGGTTTCGATTGTTTTGTTTTGGAATTATTGGTATATATTAATAGCATTGAATATTCGAAGTGACCTTGAAAATAAACTTCATTTGAATACTATACTGAATATCTGAAGAAACCAAGAATAATCTATTGCTACAATTTTTATAGAGATTACATATCAATCGTGTTAAATCCTCGGTAGTTCTAGTGTTAAATACAAATTTTCTGTAACGTGAATAACTGGATAATAGGGTGATATAATAATTTTTATATCAGATAATTAAAAACGCTGATACTTTTCGTGGCAGTCAGCGTGTTAACGCCAATGCCAACTCTAAAAGAGTGTTGGTCTGTTCTGAGAGTACCTGAAGTGTAACGAAGAAGCTAGACTATTTCATTGTTCCATTGTTAACCCTTTGCACTCGGAAGTTTCTCGCTAGAGATATTTAATATCCGATGATGAGATAAAGAGAATATTCTTTGAAGCTAACTTGAAGGGAAATCACAAGTGCATTGAGGAATGGAGATATATTTTGTTTCCTAATGTTTTCCCTTTGTGTGTCTGACAGGTGCGTGGAGGTTGACCACTACTGCCTGGACGACGAGTGGACGTGCGCGAACACCCTCTGCATTCCTTCAGAGAAGCGCTGCGACGGGCACATGAACTGCTACGACCATTCGGACGAGTACAATTGCGGTACGCGTCTCAGTTCTGATCCCATTGGCGGCCCAGTTCTTTCCATAAGCCATAATTACTTCTGTTATCGGCTTTGCCGCTTTGTCGCGGCCGCGAGGCTTCAGTTTGCCAGCTCCTCGCCGCGTCGTCGCGAGTTAATCCGTCGGGTAGAGAAGTCAGAAATCTCTCTGGCGTCTTCGTTTCCGTTTAACAATAGAACTACCAAATGGGTTAGAATGATATTCCTGATTTCCTTTTGTACCATTAATGAGAAGGTACAGATGCTTCTCTGAGATATCGTTAACCCTTTGCACTCCACAAATTTTCACTGGAAATACTCAGTATTTCCTAATGAGCTGCAGATGAGATTCTCCAAAATTGATTTGACAAGAAGTTGCTTATACATTAAGGAATGAAATTTTCTTTCAATATTTCATATTAATGCATTATACAAAGTTGAATGTTAAAACTGAAACTTTACAATTTAGCTGTGTCAAATCAATGATCGGCGACTGAGAAGTTGATTCAGTGATACCTACCAATTGATTGTCTAAGATTAATCGACGGTCGGTAACCGTCGATAACGGCAGATAACGGTCGATAACGGTAGGAGCATTCAACATTTCAACATGTTGAATATGAAAAGGTCTTGCAAACGTAGAAATATTGTTTACCTTTGTAGTCATGATTAGTTGTAACCCGAGAGGATGACCCGACCGTTGAACATCCTCCTAAGGTCGAGCAAAGAATCATGATAGACGGTGCGCGCAAATCCTGGTTCAAAGATCCCGAATGATAACGTGGTTAACCGTGTTTATTGCAGTCTGCGACTCGAAGACGCATTTCCAGTGCGGTAATGAGACTTCCTGCCTTCCGTTGGAGAAGAGATGCGACCGCAAGATAGATTGCTGGGATGCGGCGGACGAGATTAACTGCACGCTCGGTAAGGGGACGGACGTCGAGGAACGAGTGTCGTTGGCTCGCAGAACGTCGACTGGTTCGAATCATCGGAAATCAATTGTCAATCTATTTCTTCACGCTCTTAAAACCAAGAGAAAGTCTGCTCAGTTTTATTCTCTATTTCTCGTCGCTGGAAACTGTGGAATGAATTATTGATTTGAAAAATTGACATCACTATGATTGACATGATTGTATATATCTATTTATATAATATTAATATTATATATTATATAATTATATATACAATTTTGAAAATAATTATTACAAGCACTACTGAGCAGAAATTCTTGGAAAGGTCATTCTAAACAATGGCATAGTAGATGGTTTCTATCGCGTGAGGGAGCTACTGAAAATTATGGGAATCCCCTCCCATTTTCTCTTATTTCTATTTCATTCTACATTAACACTAAAACCACCGAATGGGTCAAAATTATTAAAAACGCAGCAGATGCTTCTCTGGGAGTTACTAAAGAAATTGCAGTACTCAAACTGAATTATCAATTAAAGTCTCAATAGATGCACTCTTGGAGTTTCCATGGAGAAATTTCAAAAAATCAATTTCAGTACTCGGTAGTTCTAGTGTTAATAAAATGATCGAGCAATTATGAAACAGTCATTCTGTAAGTTGAATCCATAGCTCTCTCGCGTCTTTCTGTGACCAGTCGTCATTTGCGGGCCACCCGGTATATACCTCCCTTTCTCTGTCTCTATATTTCTTTTTCTTTCTGTATCACCAACCCTCTTTCTGAATTTCTGTTTTTTTCTGTTCTCCTTCGTAGGTCGTAAGTAATCTCGGTTGGTGTGAGTACATTATTTGTTAATTCGGAATGCATAGCAGTTCCCGCATGCGCACGCCACCGCTTGCACCGGGGATCCCCCGACGCTATCCTTCTTCCATCCAGCACGACGGTAGCTTCTCGTCTCACCTCGCAACGATTTTACACTGGCGAAACTCATGCGTGTCGCGAGTCGTCTGGCAGCCTATTGAAGGTGTCCGTGTATCAGTATAAGTTCAATTTTAATTTGGTGAAGCTTAAGACTTAGCCAACCGAATGAGACACTTTCCACTTGGCAACGCATTGCCTTTTATTCAGAATGAGACACTTTTCACTTGGCGCATTGTCTTTTATTCTGTCAACACATTGCGTACTGGTAACGAGAAATCTAGTTTTAATATAAAGACACTTATCTATGCAACTTGGCTAATTACCATAATTTTGAAAAGAATATAAAATTTCATTCGAATTGATTATCTATTTAAAATATATTACATAACAATATATCTGAGTTTTTCTATGTATAGTGATATAAGTTGACCTCACTGAAAATTGCCATCACAATTCAGTTTGAAAATCAACTGGTACACAATGTGTTAAAATTGAAAATGTTCCCACTTCAACACTTACTGAATAACAAAAGAAAAGATAAATTTGATGAAGCTTGACACTTAGCCAACCGAATAAGATCCCCCACTTTTCACTTAGCAACGTGTTGCCTCTTATCCTGTTTATCTTTTCTGTTATTCAGTAAGTCTTCAAGTGGGATTATTTGCAATTCATCAAATACAATCCTAGTTTGTACAAAACAGTTTCTAACTGAATTAATTGAATCAGTTCAATTGAAGATAATGGAGGAGGTTGTAGTTATAGTTCCTTTTAGGCGGTCGTCTAAGTGTTAGTGATCAAATGAATGAACACTTTTCTCGAATATTCATGATCAGGCTTATCCTTGTATGTTCTGTTTAAATTGAATCTATCTGAACTGCGCACAGTGTAACTGCCAGGGTATTTATATCATCTCCATTCGTCATTGAGACTGCCGCATTCGAAGGGGTTCAACTAACGTCGAGCGTCGAGATTTCACCGTTAGTCTTGACAAATGCACCATTAGCAGCTTCGACCCTTTGCACTCGGAAGATTCTCTCTGGATGCATACGGCGCTTTCCAATTAGACGTAGACATTACTTGGAACGAACTAATGAGAAAACATACGTAGATTAAGTAGAAAATTATTTCACATATTGATGTTATACAAAACTCAACTCTTAGCACTCCAGGTTGTTTTCTAATCAGCAACTGCAACTAATTTTTATAGTATTACTAGAAAATTAGAAATGCTATATTTCTTAGATCTTTTATTTTACTTATATAATCTCTTTTTATTTTCATTCTCCAATCACAGACAAAATTTGGATGTGTGGAAAATCTAATAATTTTAGGGTAGTTTCTTTGATTCATTAAAATATTTGATACTATAACCGGTGCAATATTGGAGCCTACAGAGTTCAAAGGGTTAATATCATGTATAACACTTTGCAATTTTGTTGCATCGAATCACATGGTGAACGTCACCACTCGAGTGCAAAGGGTTGATAGAGAAAACTGTCGCACGCGCTCGCTTCCTCCGCTTTGATTAACCAGATCGACGAGCCTCGAGCACTCAGGGCACGCCGATCATTTTGTATTTGACAACCCCGCAGCCTGTCCATCGGAGAACGAATTCGCGTGCAACGACGGACAGTGCATATTGAAGGCTCGCTTCTGCGACGGCCTGACGGACTGCGTCGACGGATCCGACGAACCATCTGGCTGCCAGGAACGTTGCAACAAGCACGAATTCACGTGCCAGTAAGTCCCTCAGTAACACCTATGGAATTGAGACTTTATGTTCACCCGTTAGATACATGAACAGTATATACCAGGTGGTACAGATTAATCTCGATTCCATTTCCAATTTGAAATGAACATCTTATCATTAATTATTAATGATCCAGTGTTTCCCAACATTTTTTTTGCTCCATCTAAACATTTCTAAAATTCTTGTACTCCCTGTATAACATATATATTATATTATAATATTAAAAATATTAATATATAATATATATAATATTATATATATTATATTAATATATAATAATATATATATTTATAATATTTATTATATTTCTGCCATTTTATTTACACGTGTAAATATTGTAAAATATATGAAGTGATATTTCAAATTTCAAATTGCCCCACGTTGGGAGACACTGGTCTAATCCGATTAATAAATATTTCTGATTGCACAAGCAACGCTTCACTTGTACACAGAAACAGTAGGTGCATCGCGAAGGGGATGAAATGCAATGGGATTGATGACTGCGGCGACGGGACCGATGAGAGGCACTGCAAACACCGATTCCCATGATCTGCCCTGCCGGCCGAGCGTATATCACAGTATTTTTGTTACGAGAAAGAGTGACCAATGTAATTAATGTATATGTATATATGCTCTGTGTGTGTGTATGTATGTATATGTATATATATATATACACACACACACATATACATATATATGCCATTGTACCGTATAGATTACGCAGTGATGCATAATAAATTGTTTACAAGCGGTATATACAGTTGATGAAATTAGGAAACGATATAGTTTTATTAATGTATTATAGAGTCGATTACAATGCTGTTCTCTTTTTGTACCGCGACGAGCAACTTTTCTCAATGGAACACCGTATATAGGTATTGTATGTTTCCTTTACAGAGTACTACAGATACACAACACGTATTTGTTTATGCATTTACGCGCTCTCCCCTGACATCACCATCCAAACAAGAGATATTTTTCGTCGCGTTTGTACACACATTCGAGATTTATGCGAGTCTTCCAGAAGCCAGGCCGATCACACGCCGCTCTGTAAATTCTTGATTTCAATGTTTGTGTATTGATTTTTATCCTGTTCACGTCGTGTATCACTATGTTCATCGATAGACTGTGAATCTTATACTGATACACGTTAGCACTAGATTTACTGACATTTACTGTACTATGTTCTACTGTTAGAAAAATTGTTGTCCGTTCATTTAGGTCTTAGAAATTAGAGGCTTAAGAGTAGACAATTAGGATACATATTTTAATAAAAATCGACCTAAACGTTTACCAAATAATGCTTGTAAAATTCAGTGAGTGAAATTGATTCGTTCAGTAAATCTAGTGTTGACTATGTTAAGGACCACTGAAATTTGTTACTTATAGAACCCTGTAACTGTTAACACGTTGAATGCCGTATTTCATACAACAAAATACCCAAAACGAAAAAATATAATATTAAATGATTTGATTGAATTGCACTGTTATTATTGCATGTTCATCCAGCTGAATGTCATCGCATTATTTATAATATAGAAATCTTTTCAAATAATCATAGTTTAACTGAGTGAACTACAGTAATCCGATTCGGCTGGGGGTCACCGGTGACCCACATGACATTCAATGTGTTAAAACGAATCCTCTTCTGATCCATTGTTAAGAGATTGGAATCTGTGTAAGCATCCGCAGTCTAATCGTCGACATTCAGATGTGTAGAATTCTGAACATTGTACCTGCTATGATCTGATCATACACAACGACTCGTTTAAATTCTCAGCAGTGTAAACGGTACCACGAAATACAATGCATTAAAGTAACTCGATGACTTCTAACGCAGTAATTCGGATAATGACAATATGAACGTGACACGTCCTCAAGTCTGATTAAATCTACATTGCACTGAATGCATCAGTGGACAGCAAATGTTCATGTGAAACAGATAAAGGAACCAAATGAAAGCTCACTAGACAAGAAAGTATGTTCAATGCGTGTCTCACTCGACCGAGATTTTTATTTTACTGGATTTCATTCAGCAGCATTTATTGTAAATGCATAAAAACTCGCGGCCCGAACGCCAGTTACGTGTAATGAAATGTTGATCAGTTTGGCTATTGAGAGACTCTCACGTATAGCATATATTTTTGTATACAGTGGATTGCCTCGTTCCTGTATAAAAGCTCCGAACATATACGAGCGCATGGAATTTCTCGCGAAACTCTGCTAGTCCCTTATCTAAATAAGAAGTGATCAACGCGATAAATATATACAGATACACAGACTATTACCAAAAATAGTCGATCAAACTCTTAGAGCACGCACCACTTGTAACAGTAATAATCACAGACGTCTAATGAGTCTTCCTCTAAACCGAAGAGATCAGTGTATCTAATTCTATTTCAATTATTGAAAGCTTAATGCAACCATTTACTGCTATGCATTCACATATCCAAGGAAGAACCTTTACAATCAGAATTCCTAGTAGCTATCAGAAACTGTTCCAACTGTTTACAACTCGCAGGTACTTTAAAGTAACAGTATCATTAAAATATTCTAAACCAAACACGTGTACAAATTGTTTTAATACAAATTTAAAGTACCAGTCAACGAATCTTTGGGGATAATTGAACAACCAGGTTACATGTTTCTGTCATAAACATTTCTGTCGCAAGTGGTGCACGTTCCCAGAGTTATAGACCGTCTATTTCAAGAGCGTCCTGTGAAATAACGCAGGTTCCGAGGACGCCGTTAACATAGAACGGGGTTGGCCTCCGTTCTCCCGGAAACAAGCGCGGTTCCCATGGATCCTCTCGAGTGTCTCGAGGCATGATTTAGAGAAACTCGTCCGGCTCTCTCGGTGCGTCGAGATCGCGATAATGAATGACTGGTCGGAAGTCTCCTCCACCGCCACTGCAACGTTGAACAACAATTAGAACGTGTAATTCCAGTCTGAGAATAATATTAGACAAATTGAACGTGCACGTATATGTATATGTATATGCGTACGCCTGTGACGTGTACGTACATATATACATACACACCCATAGATTCATGGTGAAGCCGACCAACAAATTGCGTGTGACATACGACCAACTGGACATAGGAATTCGAACGGAGACATGGGATGAAAGAAAATAAAAGCACACGTGTAAGCAGTAACAAATAATTTTATTTGTTAGTCCTTTTCTGGTAAGATTACAGCATTCGCCAATCTTTTCTCTCGACCCCCTTTCGTTCCCCTCACTCTTTCTCTTTAGAATATGGAACGCGGCACGAGGCGGTCTCTTCGTTAAAAGTCACGGCAACGCGTTTGGAATTTCTTTCGACACGTTGAATGCCATGGTCACCGGTGACCCAAAATTGAATTACTACGGTTCAATTAACCCTTAGCACTCCATGTTTTGTAATCTATCAACTGTAACTAATTTTTATAGTATTCTAGTAACTAATTTTTATAGTATTTGATTTTCCTTGTTAGTGCAGAATTTGGATGTGTGAAAAATGTAATGATTGTAGGGTAGTTTCTTTAAGATTCATTGAAATATCTAATATTATTCCTGGTGCAATATTAATACAGAGTTCAAAGGGTTAAACGATGATCATTCGAAGACATTTCTATGTTATAAATACTACTATCTAATGCGGTGCCATTCAGCTATATCAACCTGCAATAATAATGATTGAAACAAATGATATATTTTGTCCATTTTGTATATTTTGCTCTATGAAATCGGCATTCAACGTGTCAATGTACCCTCTCTCTCCGTTAGCGTGAGCAAAAGTGAATCCCTTTGTCAAACAAAAAGAAACGTACTGACGAGACATTTCCACTTTTCATTGTTCTCTTGAGCATGTAATACGCGCGACGAAAAAAAGAAACAGTCACAATCAATCAATTAGACTCTGATTGTATCACATAATCCAGAAAAGAATCTGTCGGCATAGAGATGTCCGATATTGCAAAGGATCTGTCTCATTGCCTTTAAGCCCCGAGCAAAAGAACTCTAGAATGGCGGTACAGACTCGATTAAAGTTAGAACGTGTCCATGTCTAGCTGGTCCAAGTCATTATAACTAATAATAGGCCTCGAAGTTGAGTCCGGAGCAGCCCTGTAAAACAGCGGATCATACCACTTTCAATACACGTTGCCAGAAGCGACAGGAAAAATGAGACGAGAGAATTTTGAAACGGTACCGCGCGACTGACGGTTCATTTGTTGATCATTATTTTTTTTTTATTTTTGTCGGTTTTGTCGGTCAGCCGGCCGGATGTCCCGGCACGTGTCGGCCACGCGCCGCAGACTACCTCGACGCGAACTGCGAGCCGCATGCGACAGGAAAGGGAAAGGAATCCTTACCGTCCTCTATTGAAACCACCGCGGCTAGGACGCGGCATTCCAAATCCTCCGCCGAATCCTCCGCCGTAACTGGACCCATAACCTCCTCTGCTGCTGCCGTAACCACTCCCGTAACTTCCGAACCTATGCAGTTAGAGTCACAATCAGATGAATCAGAAAGAAGCTAAGAATGGAACGTTGGATAAAGATACTTTTAACAGAACAGTCGCTTGAACTTTTTATATCTCTATTAACTTTGACTAGTGTTTGGTCCAGTCTTTAGAGAAACTATTGATTAATTATTAGTTTAGCAAAGGCTAGAGTATTCTGGAACGTTGGATAAAGATACTTTTAACAGAACAGTCGCTTAAACTTTTTATATCTGTATTAACTTTGACTAGAGTTTGGTCCAGTCTTCAACTATTAGTTTAGGTTTAACTATTGATTAATTATTGATTTAGCAAAGGCTAGAGTATTCTTGATAGTACTCTTACATAGGACACTTACGTGGAACAACCGTAAGGATTGAATCCTTCGCGCATACCCTCCCTCGGCGGCGCCTTGTTGCCAGGATGCTCGGGCAACTGCGGCCTCTTCGGATCCCTCAGATAATTGTTGAAGTACTCCGCTTCTGCCTTTACCTCGGCTACCTTCTCTCCGTGCTTGTTGAAGATATGTTTCCGGATGAAGTCTGGACCCTTGAACTTCTTACCGCTCAACGGGCACAGCCACTTGTCCTTCGACAGCTCCTGCGTGTTCGCCTGAACGAATTTTTCTACCTCACTGATTCAACGGTTAAGGAAAATCATCGGGGACACTGATAAAGATCAATGTTTAGGAAACACTGAGATAGATACTCCTTTCTTAATTAGCTATAGAAGGATACGTTTCCGCATTCTTGGCGCCCAATTTGTCAAACTCCTCCTGAGACAAGGTAGCAACCGGCTGCAGGAAAGCAGCCATTTTGCTCTCGAAGTTGCGACAGTACTCTGACAGTTCAGTACTCGAGACTTTAGCGGTTGGAGGCGAGCCTCTGACGTGCATTATACCACATCTGTTCGGCATCTCGTCTTCATTAGGGTACTCACAGTGATTGTAGTAGTCAACAGAGTGAACTATTCGCAGATAGAGGATCAGTCTGTCTAACACCTACAGAGAAGATACAGAATTCAAAAATATTGAAAATATTTTATCTAGATTGTAAACGTCCAACATTTCTCTACATTTTATTCAGCTGATTGCTTACCTTGACTAGAGTCGGATCTCTTTCTATTGGACCGTCTCCGTCGCCTCCCAGCTGTCCTTCCTCCTGGTCGCCAGACATGCCTAACAACTCTTCTTCCTCGGCGGATGCTTCTTCTATCAAATAATCAGTTATGTTCTTCAGTACCGGGTTCTTGGACGACAGTCCGAACGCCTGTAGAAATAAAAAGAGACGTTACATAAAATATATCTCACAGTGTAGGGCAAGTATAGACGAATCAATCAGACTCACAGCTTGCTCAACTTCATGAGCATTTTGCGCGCCTTTAGTGTCTTTGCTGTCGTCCTCCTGTTTGGACGTATTCTCTTCCTTCTTCTCTTCGTTCCACAGACCTACCCTGTTGTCCAAATTGTGAACAATCTTCGCGCTCAATTTGATATCGTGTCGGACTATCTGCTTGTGCGACGTTAGGCCGTTCACAGTGCGAATGCGCCGCGAGAGATCTCTATTCACTATCGCACCCAACTCGCAGTCTCTCAGCTGCGTGAACCAAATTGCGTTAGAAATGTTCACACGTTTGATCAGCACGGTTTAAACTTACTCGAATATTATTCAGACTCCAGCATATCTCTTTTATGTTCACTTGTCTCTCGAAGGACACCCATCCTCTTCTGAACCATCTCCTTTCCGGCTGAGGATCCGCTATGGCAACTCGTAAAAATCCAGGAAACCGTTTACACATCTGTTTGGAAAGGAATTGTTTATTCGCGACTGCAAACAGGGTGGTAAGGAGCGTCTCAGTCTTCCAGACGGTTCACTCACCGCTTCTACTTCTGCCTTTGTGATAGTAGGCGCCAAATTGCGGAGAAAAATACTGCTAGTCTTGTGCAACGCTCTAGGTTCTTTTTCTTTGTCCTCGCTGGCTAAGTCGATCACAGCCTCCGGCTCGATCGCGGACTTCTTAGGTTCCGGTGGGTCGCCGTCGGCTTTAGTCTCTTGTTCTTCCTCCTTTCCGTCTCCTGCGTCTACGTTTTCGTTGCTCGCGTCCGCCTTCTCGCCAGCAGCTAAGGCCAAACGCGTCGAAACGCCATAAGTTTCTGTATTCTCATTGACACTAGATTCACGAATATTTACTGTATAACTCTATCATTCTTAGAAAGATTGATATTCGATTATTCAGATTTTAAAAATTAGAGAGTTAGAAGTAGACAGTTAATATACATTTGTATAACTGAATCATCCAAATGATCAAACATTTTCCAAATAATGCTTATAAAATGATGAGTCAAATCTAGTGTTGACAAACACAATACACAATTATCAATACTCACAAGTTTCCTCTTTCGGCGTGCCAGGCTTGTTACTGTCGCTACCAGAGGAACTACTGCTGCTAGAACTGCTGCTGCTGCTGCTGTTGCTATCAGTGCGTTTTCTTTTCTTGGCATTAACCTCTTCCAATTTACCTGTTGCATCGAGACCGAACTTGTGAATAATAGAGCAGAAGAGAATAATATTTCATGTCAACAACAAAAAGAAATACCAGTTCCATCCATCTCGTCATCTTTCTTCGTTTCCTCTGCACCCTCCTCGGGTTTCTCAGTCTCCTCCATCAAGCCCTCGTCCTTCTCCGCACTCTTCATCTCGGTGTCCGCGCCCTGTCCGTTTTTAAACGTTTTCTCTGCACGGGAAGCCTCGTCCGACTTGCTCGCGTCACTGTGAAATCCCAGAATAAGATCAGCTCGCGTTTCCCAGTCCCTTTCTCAATTTCTCGCGCGATGGAACTTCATTTACTTGTTGTCCAGCTTCTTATCAGCTCCTGCTTTACTCTTCGCGTCCTCTTTGTCCTTGGCGACGTCTTTAGAGATAATCGGATTCGACGGTTTCACGTCCAAAACCTGCAAGTCTTCTTCGGTGCCACCCTCTAGCTTAATGACCACCGCGTCCAACAAATGCAGCAGAGCGTCCGCTTGATCGGCGTCTATCGAAACTTTGTCGATTTCTCCGACGTCTAGCATTTCTAAGAAAACTTCAACGCGTTTCTGTGGGAAAAAAATAACTATGAAGTATGGATCGTTGGGTTATCGAAGATGTTCTGTGAACTCTGGAGATCGGTACCTTGAGAGCTGATACTTGTTCTTCCTTTCTCTTCACCGACTCTTCGGGATGATACTTAATTTTGAACCTGGTAATCGACAGAGAAGTTGGTATTAATCTCGACTTTGAAATAGATTTTCTTCGATAAAAAAAAAAGCAAACAGACGTACAATTCGTATGTGGACTTAAGGTTATGGTTCGTTACGTTTGAAAAATAATACCGGAATCAAAGATATATCGTTAGTTGAGATTTCTCGAGAGAATTTTCACGCGTTTCTAGAAAAGCACAGCGTGTACGCTTGTCGATCGAAATCATCCGAGATCGCGTACGATTACCATAGACAGAAACGGAATTATATTGAAGTATTATAATTTATATAATATTATATATATATATATGTATATACATATATATATGTACGTATAATTACACGATACTATTAGATTGTATTATTACATTGTACCAGAGAGAGAAAAATGATAAATTGACCGAGAGATTGGCCGTGAGAACGGGCGTTGCATAAAACAAGATATATCACGTCTCCCTCCTGCGCGTTCAGAACAAACAGTTCCACGTGATCAAAGATTTAAACTTATTGCCCCCGGTTTCGTTCGAGGCACGATTATATACAGAATTAATCAGTTTTACTGTCAACATTGTCAGTTACAGAATGAAGCCTCACCTGTAGGTGTTATTTATACTCGCATTCGGTTTTCTCGTCGACTCAGAGATCTCTATTTGTGAACGATAACGTTTTATCGTTTCGAATTCGTGAGAGTAATTAAACGGGTTTAGAGCGCGGCCTACCGCGAGCAGGTTTGGGCTTTGCGCGCCCAGCTCGCATATTTCATTAGCTACCTAAACAGACACTTTTTTCGAATCTTCTGCGATGCGCGTCACGCGGTATGCATAAAATGTACGGGAAAAATAAACGAGCGAGACGACCTGTGCCCAAGACAAGGCGTTGCTGGCTGTATGCTGTAGGGATAGACAGAGAGAGCTGGTCATATTGGCTTGAACATTACCGATAAAATGGTGTCTGCAATTTAGCAAAAATTATAAAGCCACTACACCCTCATCTCCTTCTGGACCAACGCGTGTCCCATCGTTGGCGGACACGCGCTGGGCCAGAATTCATTGACATTGTTTAGGATACAACGATTATTTTCTACAGTGGACAAAAAAAATGGTCTTCTAGACAGTTGCTTTTTTTTTAGTGAAACATTTTTAGTGTTTTAGTGGCAAACAACGTGCGCCGGGCCACTGTAGAAATTAATTGCTCTTTTACATCCACATTTAGGTACGGCTGAGTTGCATGTTACGTTGGACGTGTATCAAGCGGATGACGAAACGAAATATACCATTCCTCGTCCTTGTGAGCGACGAAAAATTCGTTCAACTGTTGCCTCCTGAACTCCAGCTTATACTCGTTGTAACGCTTGATGGCCTCCTCGTCGGTGATCGTGTCCTCTTGCGTGCCGAGGAACGCCTTGAACGACATCATCGGCGGCTGAGTCTCCACGTTCGAGTTACTGAAGTTCCCAGCCACTTCCCGACTGCGCCAATAAACGGAAATTAAAATCAGTTCAGCCGGACGCGTCACGCGCGAGAGCTACCTCAAACGAGCCAGCAGGCGTGGAGTAAATCTACTCCTTTTTTGCATAATCACTGTGCAACCTCTCTTTTTCATGACAAGCTGTTGATATTCTCGACATAAACGTTCAGAAAAAGAAGAACATCGACGTAAACGTAACATAGCATAATGTGACAAAACACAAACCTGCTGCTGTTACCATGGTTCCCGTAGTGATGATTGCCATGGTGCGGGGGAGGATAATGATCTGGACCCCAAGAAGCAGCTCCGCCGCCTCCACCGCCGTAATAATCGTGCCCGTATCTGGGACGATCGTCCCAGTCCGTTCTCATTCTTTTCATCGGAGGCGCCATTTCTTGTGACCTAGCCGGACTATATCTATCCCGTCCCCCGCCTCCTCCTCCACGATATTCTCTATAATCTGGTCGCTGTCTAGGTCGACTGGACCATTCCCTGGAGTAATTACTAACATTATAACTATAAGAATTTGTTTCCATTGGCTACAGAAGCGTAAAATTGTTTATTCAGCTTTGAGAAAGCATTCGAATGTTAAATGCTCTTATAAATACCTGTCAACCCAATCATCCCTTCGCCTGTCATCTCTACGGCCTTCCCTCGAATAAGACTCAGTCCGTTCTCCTCTAAATTTGTCCCTCCTCTTTCTATCATACTCGTCGTCCGAGTCACCCATTGTAAAAAAATGTTTCGTCAATTCTGAAACGCACAGCAGGTGTAGGCATATTTGCAACGTATTTTAGAGGTCAACAAGTCACAGATTTCAAATCACTCCATACCAGATGGAGGTTAAGTATACAACAAGAACGCATATATTCCCTGGCACGCGATTCGCTACTATTTTTGAACATTCCTCGTTTGAACTGGACGCGAAAGGATGTACGCCGCTAACAAAACGTTTGGCCGAGAGCCATTGCTCGTGAATTAATTTTCGAGCAAAGTATTCGAATAACGCGCGAATCGGATTCTTAAAACATCCGAATCTGTTGCGTTTCGTCACTTGTGCCAAATCGTAACGACCGTACAACGGAACTGTGCGTATTATGCGTTCGCGTACAACGTAAATAATAGACATGGGAGACTTACATATATCAGGTACACCGTTAGGAGAAATTACAGTTCGGGCATAGATGATTTTTGTCGCCCGTTACCGTGCGTCACCAAAATGCCCCCTTTGCCCGAAGGTGCGGCGTCAGATCGTCTCCATCGAGGTTTAGTTCTCTATCGATTTCTCATTCACGTTCGAGACCCGCGAAATTCAAACGTACTCGTACAAACGTAAACGCTTTACTGTTTACACTCACGTCTCGTTTGTCCCTTTATCAGGAAGCAATCCTTAAGTGCAATTAAATGAAGATTATATTGACACTTAAAATTGCGACTGTACGTCACATACACTGAACACCTAAATGGTCCCTGTGAAATAACCTGGATTACAAATGAACAAACTTGAAGCTTTCTTAACTTCTGACACGTGAAATTAAAACTTAAAATACGTACTTTGAAACACAAGTGGTGACGATTCGAAAGAATTGATTGGATAATTGAAATTGCAACCGATTGTCTCCTATTTCGAGATCTAAGATGGAAGACGTATATCGATTTCCTTATAGGACAGGAAACTGAACTGAAAAGATTGAAAGGTTTCTAATTATAGTCTGTCTAAGAAAACGAGGCGATAAGTAAATAAAAATGTGCGTTACCTGATTTTTATGCGATTGAGATAATCGTATGCACCGACCAATTGCCGTGCTTAACACGATTGGTCCATGTGTTCGGTTCAACGTATCATTGGTGTGGAGCCAGCTAAACGATATAAATATATAAACGAGTAAATAAAAACAACTAATTATTGGATTCCCTCGTATAAATGAACTTGAACTTCTAACACGTGTCATTTCATCTCGGAACATGCTGTCAGAGAAATGTTTAGCTGGAACAATATTGTATGTTTCCTGGCCAGCATCCATCCGATGAGAACGGATCTAAACACACCAGAAACCGGATATTAGTATGAATGATAAATTAATAATAAAGAAACTTGATGAAAAATAACGATGAAAATTTTTATGAAACAATAGATTTTCGGCTGGTATAATTCGTTGTTGATTCACAACAAAGCAAAACAGAATGCGTCATCCGAGAGTATATTGTAAACGCACCTGAAATATATGTTTCACAATCTGCCGATATGGACTAAAACAAGTTTCCCTGTTTGCGAAAAGATTTGACAATAAAAGTGAGGCAATATTAAAATCCTCGAATCACCGCGGTTGATTTTGTTTATCAGTAATTCAAACGGGAACGTTCCCAAGCGAAACGTCAACGGTGCATTTAATTCCCTTATGGTTGCTTATCTATATCCCCGATTCCGTACATGTCTTAATTTAGAAGTCCCGATGTCTACTTTTCAAAGTGTAAGATGTCGAGGTGCATAGTGTGTGACGTATGAAAACGGAGAATTATTAAACAAGACATAAAAATTTATAAATCAATCAGTGTTTCGGTAAGGGATGAACTCGAGAGGGAGGGTTTGTTGGTTAACGAAGATACCTAAAGAAAAAATGGATTTAAATGAATTAACGTACACGGACCCGTCTAGACGTTTTCGTATCAGTATGTACTTTTCCGTGAACCGTAACAACGTAAAATTCTGATTGATTTCTACATTAGAGACAAAAGCCCTGTCCGTGATGTCTTGCTACTGACAACAATTGTTTTCCCGTACACACGAACTGTAACCTACGAATGAGTGATACGATCAAAATGTTCACAAAACAGCCAGTCGGTACCACCATCAATTTTCAAATGAGTAAACTGCGGTGATAATCGTTATACTAACGTTCAGTTATTCCATGAGAGTTCAATTAGGGGAGATCCTATGACATTTCTCGAGTATTGTATCGTTCTTCTGATTGTATAACTTATTTAATTATGTATCCCTGTTGCGATTGTGTTGCATGGTGTCTGTTCACAATAATAGAAGACTTATGTGTTTACTGTGCGTTGCTATAGTAACACCGAGCTGTTCTCAGATGCTTTAATAAAGTGTAAACGTTCGTTGATTTCCTTAAAGACACTCTAAATGTTTGTTTATGCTCTACAATAGAGCTGATTAATTGTAGTGAAGGTGCCATGAAGTAAAATCAAAGGATGATGATGGGCGATCAGTTTCGTAGCAAAGTGGAGCAATATTCACCGAAGTCATCGCCCAGGGGTGCGCGTTCCCCTGTTGTTTCGCGTCAAGATTCGACAGGGACACTCAAAACAACCATATCCCTGGGAAAGAATCCTTCGATTGTCCATAGCGGTCCTTTTTACTTGATGAAGGAGCCCCCTGGTATGCTGTTAATTCAAAAATTAATACGTACCTAAAATGATTACACTTATTCTTGACAAATTCTTCTTTATCGTTATTACAGGAGAAAGTGACCTTACAGGGGCAAGAAATTTAATGAACTATTATGGTTTAGAACATTCTTATAGTAAATTTAGTGGAAAGAAACTCAAAGAACAACTTTCATCTTTTTTACCAACATTACCTGGAATAATAGACAGACCTGGTCATTTAGATAATAGGTATATATTGATATTGAAACATCTGATTTTACAGACTACTAAGTACGCAAGTACACGTGTAAGATTACTTCTGTTTTCCAGTTCACTGAGATCTGTCATTGAAAAGCCTCCAATTGGAGGGAAAGAATTATTACCATTGACTAGTGTCCAATTGGCTGGTTTTCGCTTGCATCCTGGACCTGTAAGTAACCATACTTGACTGAAGAATAATTTGTCCAATTAAGAGTTCAGACAGCTAAAATGTATCATATTTTTATAGTTACCAGAACAGTATCGTTATGTCAATCAAGCGCCACAAAGGAAGCACAAGAACAAACATAAAAAGCATAAACACAAGCCAGGAGAAGTACCCAGCGGTCAAGAGGCGACGACAACAGATATTGGTGGTTCAGATACTCATGAAAAGAAGCATAAGAAACAGAAAAGGCACGACGAAGAGAAAGAAGCCAGAAAGAAACGTAAGAAAGAGAAGAAGAGAAAAAAACAGAAACACAGCCCTGAGCATACTGGAGGATTAACACCGTCTCAACATTCCAATTCGTGATCTTTAATTCTACCTTTTCTGTTTGTATCAAATTTTCGTCCTGACGTTGATCTGTGTGGACGCAATTGACTTCTTCCCCGTTAGCTGAAAATATACATGTACAGACAACCATCGCAGCTGGAACATCCTGCTACGATAATTACGTTGGATCCTAAGTTACAGCAGCTTCGACTCATTCGTTCTATTCGTTCCTGACATTCACATTTTTTTGTTTTTTTATCGTGTCTTTTCAATCGATGCCTGATCTTCGACAGAAACAGGGTGTACATTTTTATTTTCTCTACGTTTCTAACTATAATATCCTTTTCTTACAGCAATTGTACACTATCAATATGTAATATAGAATCGACTGTGTAAAATCTATTTGTATCTCACGCGTACACGTACCCGTACGCGTACGCGTGTTGCAATTTACTACTTAACCCATCAAGACCATTACTTCTCCACGAGACGAAACACAGATTTTGTTTATCTTTGATTTATAAACTTCGTAAGCGAAATGTAAAGAAAAATCGAGCATCTTGATGAGTTAATAGGATATCGATTTGAATCGTTAGTATAAACAAGGAGTATTACCCTTCGTGTAAATATATATGTCGAAAAGACGATA